AAAAAATCTGAGACAAACCCAATCCTATTCTTGAACTCTTATCATGATCATCTCAATGACTTTACACATTATGCTAGATTTTATACTGATGGATCAAAGGTGGCGGATAAGGCTGCTACAGCCTTCGTCAGTGGCAAACACATAACCAAAGAGCGTTTGCCAAATGATGCATCCATATTTTCAGCGCAAATCAGAGCAATAGACCTTGCTCTGACATTTATCGAATCTAAACACATTCTAAATAGTATTATCTTCTGTGACTCATTATCAGTGCTTCAGGCGCTACACAATATCAAACTAGATAATCCACTATTGGTGAATGTTCTGGTAACAAACGCTGAGCTTAGTGCCTCATGCAATATAGTATACTGTTGGCTACCTAGCCATATTGGTATCAGAGGTAACCAACACGCAGACCGGGCTGCTAATATGGCCCTATCTTTACAACCATCGGATTTTAAATTACCATATTCTGATTTTAATCCTTGTATCAAAACGTATCTACAACAAAAGTGGCAGGTATCATGGGATGATGCAATCAATAACAAACTTCATACCATCAAACCAGTCTTGGGAGAATGGAATCCTTCCTACAGAACTATTCGTAGGGAGGAGGTTGTCATTGCAAGAATCAGAATCGGTCATACGTACATTACCCACTCACACATACTAAAAGGTGAAGATTCACCAGAGTGCGGTCCTTGCAATGTACCATTTACTGTTAAACACTTTATGACCACGTGTTCCGACCTGCAAACTACGCGTGATAAATACTATAATGTACACGACATGCAGGAACTTTTTGATACTATTCAAATCACTAGTATTTTAGATTTCCTAAAGGAAGTAAATCTTTTTTTTTTTAAACTGTAACTTGTATGACCTTACCCAAGCTAATTTTTAACTAATGCAAATACCAACTATTATTTACATCTTTTCATCAAGATACATCATTTACATTTCCCGTTAATCGGGAACCAACATCTTTAACTGTTATCAACATTTACCATTTTATATTTAACTACTATGGATTTTTTACTATATCACTGGTCGATATTGAACCTTTCTTTTTACATATATGACCTACTGTATGGCGCTAAATAGCCTAAAAGTGCTGGTGCGCCGTTAAAATTAAATCAATCAATCAATCAAAATGATGGAAAAAATCGGAGACAAACCCTTCCATTTTCCACAACTCTTACCATGAACTCCTCTCACAATTTGAAAAGTAGACAAAAATATATGTACTGATGGATCAAAAGATGAACAAAAGGCTGCTGCAGCATTTGTAAGTGGAAAACACACAACCAAAGTTCGCTTGCCAAATGGTACGTCAATTTTTTTCATCCTAAATTAGAGCAATAGACCTTGCTTTGCAATACATTGCAAGCAAGCGTATTTTAAATAGCATAATATTCTCCGACTCACTATCAGTACTTCAGTCACTACATAACAGAAAACTGGAGAATCCATTATTAGCAAATATTCTCCTTAAGCATACTGAGCTGAGTACCTCCAACAATATAGTATACTGTTGGTTACCCATCCATGTAGGAATTAAAGGTAATGATAAAGCAGACCGTGCTGCTAAAATGGCCCTATTACTAGAACCAACTGATTTTAAATCACCCTATACTGATTTTAAGCGTTGCATCAAAGACTGTTTACTTCATAAATAGCAGGCATCATAGAATGATACCGTGAACAACAAACTTCATGCCATCAAGCCAACCTTAGGAGAATGGACTCATTCCTACAGATCCGTCCGTAGAGAGGAGGTAGTCATTGCAAGAATATGACTCGGTCATACTTATTTAACACACTCGTACATATTAAAAGGAGAAGACCCACCAGAGTGCATAGCTTGTAATGAACCATTCACCGTTAAGCACTTTATGCTGGAATGCTTCGATCTTCAACCTACGCGTAATCATTACTACGTTGTGTAAGACATGACGGAGCTCTTTGATACAGTTAACATTACCAACATTATAGACTTCCTTAAGGAAGCGAACATTTGTCATAAGTTATAGCTTTTATTTTATCACCTTGTTCAGTTTTGTGTTATATTTATGCAGTAGATAGATTTTAATTGCCAATCATATGTTTTCGTTATCATACTTTTGCACTCCCCGTTGATCGGGAAACTTTTAATACTTTACCATCGTTCACATTTTTATCGTTTTACCTTTAACTGTTTGGACTCCAATCGCTGGTCGATAAAATTATTTTACCAGTTTTAAATGTAAAAGGATATAAAATTATGTTTGGCGCTATATATCCTCACAGTGCTGATGCGCCGTAAAATAGCAATCAATCAACCTCTCAGGAGAAAAGACTGAGTGCCTTTCACATGTGTTGTCTCTGTTGCATACTTGTGATCACATGGAGCGATTGTGTGACAAAGAGTTGCTTGAGCATGCCAAAATTCTCAGCATGGTCACACTCCTCCGCCAACGTCGCATCAGATGGCTAGGCCATTTGCGTCAAATGGATGTCGGACGGATCCCCAAAGACCTTCTCTACTCTAAGCTTGCCTCTAGCAGAAAATCAATCGGATTGCCACATCTCCGCTTCAAGAATGTCTGCAAGCACGACATGAAAGCTCTTGGGGTCGATGTCAACACCTGGGACGAGCTTGCCCTCGACATGTCCAACTGGCTACATGCTCTGTTCACTAGTCTGAAAGCCAGCGAGGAAAAGTTACGATAGCTCGCTAATGACGTTTAATATGTGCAAGTCAATTTTAGTTATCATTTCGATAACAATTTAATTAATATTTTATTTATAATAAATGTTTAATGTACTTCTTATCTTTCTGAACGTTTAGAAATGACAAGGATGTGGGCGGCAATAAAATGCGTGATAATCGTATGTATTTATTATTCACTCGTCATTTTTCGTCATAATATATTTATTAAGTACTGACGGGGTGGTAGAGGTTATGACTGGTTAATTCTGTTAGATTTATGTGATCATTCAGTTAAAGGTTTTCCCGGATCACACTGATTCGTGTACCAATCAATTCAATTCATCATTGACGTTACGGCTACAATTAATGTCTGCTTCGCGCATAGAAATCTAAATTAAATTTTGAGAGTCTTCATTTTTAATTATATTGGATCAAACTCTGGATATAATACATTCATGACAAAATCTATGCAAATGGTGTATGTTCTAAATTTATATCAATGTCTAATTTACTAACTTTTTACACTTTTGCTTCTCAATTTTCAACCAATATTGGCATAAAACATATCAATACGTTTGATTTCTTTGTGATTGTGGAAATAGAAGAGGTGTTTAATTTCGTACGACACCAAGCATGATGCAATCTCTAGACAGCATGCATAATGTATGATGGATCAGGACACACGATCAAAGACTTCGGCTCCTCCTTTCTAATAACAAACGTCAGTTGTTGAAAACTTTTCAGGGGCGGAAAAAATATTTAATGGCATTGTGTTGTCCAGCATTGCTTTGTTGCCTCATTTAGAAATATCATTAATAACGGGCAATGCTATAGATCCTTAACTTTTTACCTATATTGAATACTGAAAACTATGTCAATTTTTATTAAACACAAAATCGATATGTGTGTGTGTTATCCGCATATATATATATATATATATATATATATATATATATATATATATATATATATATATATATATATATATATATATATTAGAGGAAAGTGAGTGGCAGCATTGTGATCAATACAAGGATGCATTATTTATTCGCTCGTCTTTAACAGTATATCGAATGTATTGAATGTTGTGGAGGATATAGAATTTAACAAATGTCATTTCGTACTAAATTAGGAGCATAGCAATATGATAAACACATTTAAATTAAGGCACGCTAGCATAATAGATTATACTAGCGTGATCATACCCGAGTTATAGACCATTATTCAGTTAAATATTCTGGGAGTTGTCTAAAGGTTTATCGTACGAGTTGCAAAACGTCATGTTTAATTTTTTTAATATAGGTTGATCGAGAGTTTTTAATATACATTTTGCTTTACAAGTAATTTTGAATAATACTAAAATATTTAATTAGAAACAAATATTTCTATCTTTAGGCTCAACTTGGCTGCTGCCAAGAGAAAGACATGGCATCCAACATTGCACTAAAAGTATGCAATACAACAGCGGGGCTAAAAGTGGAATACATCGAAACATCAAACAATTATATGTTGCCATCATTTTCACTACATCTACAATTATTGTCCGACTCAGACATAAGCATCTACAAATGGTTAGTTGATATCAGTTTGTTTAGTTGTATTTGATCATCCTTTGATCTATTCAGGTCAAGATCTATCCAGTTAGTGTAATGTCTCAGATACATGAAAGTATATGGAATCAGAGTTTTTACACTAATTTCTGTTGTTCAAAGGTTTCAACCAGTTTTGGCATTAAACCTATGTACATATTTGACTTGCCATTGTAACGGATGAATCTGAATACGTGCATAATATCGTACGGCATTAATAATGATTACCACGAGGACATTAATGCCAATGTATCGAATCAGACATATTCAAACACACTCTCTCCCTCCTTCGCACTAATAACTTCTAAACTAGATGAATATTTTTCAAAACTGAGAAAATACCTACAGCATTGTTGTAAAGCATTTACGATTAAGAATACCATCATATATTATGGGATTTACTAAAAACTATTAAGTTTGTAAATATTGAATAATGAAATCCACTGAAAGCTTTATTTAAATAATAAGGAGTTAGGAATAATTATGTGCTTGAAGTTTGCTTTTGCTTTGTTATTATTGTTTGTTTTGTTTTTCATTTAACGTAGCTTTAGCTTATTTTATTTGGTCATATCGCTATGATCTCTACATTGTGGCAGTTGGAAGTGATATCTAGCACTAGGACATCATGCCTCAGATATGCAGCATCATGTCCCATCCCGTCAGTTATCCTGACACCAAGACGATAAGTCTCAACACTAACCTCTTATAATTTTATGTCTTGATATGACTCGGCTGGGCTCAAACCCGCGACCTCCCGCGTCCGAGGTGGACACTCTAACCATTCAGTCAAAAATCCAAACATGTACAGTATGAAGTGTGTGATACTCGAATCATAATTTGAATTTGTTGTTTGTGATTCTCAAATGTGCAACTCAACGTCTCATTGCATCAAATTTAACTCCAAAATCCTCTTCACATTTGTCCATTACAACTGCGTCATTTGCTCATTGAAAAATGCAAACGATATCATTAATCAACATAAACCTCGACATATATTTATTTTATAACAGCCAAGAATCCATTTATATGCAAGGAATAAAAGGAATTACATAGGGCAAACTTGGTTTAAACCACAGCGAATATGAAACTATGAAGAATCAACACTAAGTATTGACCAGCACTGGTCATCTTTACAGAGTAGCAACAGCTTGAAACTAAATCACTAATCAAAACATATTTAAACTGCGAAACAGAGGGGAAATCTCTCTCACATTGTATGTATAACGATTACTGGAACATACGAACACACATACACACGGTTATGTAGAAAGTCTCAGGCTGAAAATTGACAAAGAAATCCGTCATTTTCGAAAACCATACAGTTATCTTTTCATGCGAATATTTCCTTCTATGGGGATACTATTATTTGTTTGAAGATTTTTGTTATTTATATACATATATATATATATATATATATATATATATATATATATATATATATATATATATATATATATATATATATATATATACATATATATATATATATAAAGAATACAAATCATATGGCGAATAACAACCCTCTCAAGCGTACTGGATCCACCAAGGGATCACGTTTGTCAGGGATTAATTAAAATAGATGCAATAAACTGACGACGAACAGTACGAAACTAGTAACTAACTAGCCTAAGCGCTTTCGACTCTTAATGAGTCTTTTTCAAAGGCAAATACAAAACATAGTTACGACAAACAAATAAACACAAAAACGTTGCGTTTGTTTAGCACATGTTTGTTTGTTTAGCACATGTGAAGATAGAAATGTAGAGGTTTACAAACGCAACGTTTTTGTGTTTATTTGTTTGTCGTAACTATGTTTTGTATTTGCCTTTGAAAAAGACTCATTAAGAGTCGAAAGCGCTTAGGCTAGTTAGTTACTAGTTTCGTACTGTTCGTCGTCAGTTTTTTGCATATATATATATATATATATATATATATATATATATATATATATATATATATATATATATATATATATATATATATATATATATATATATAAAGCTGGGGAATATTCCAACAGATGCCAGTCATTTGCTGGAGAGGTGTAAAGACATGATATGCCATATATAGTCTCCTCATCAGATGATGTATATACAACATGCAGAAGTTAAACTGAAAACAAAAAATAACTTGTTCTTATTTCAGAGTTCTATTACAATTACTTAAAAATACATGCATTTTTATGCAGAGTGAGAAAATACTTTGATGCTTTGATGGCTTAGTTGTTGCTATTTACTAGACCTTCTTACCTTTTCAGCATTTGATTAAAATGTCTGTCCCGAGAAATAAAATCAAATGCACCTTGTGAATACTTACACATTATGTAATATTATCGACCGTTTTCAGTAAGGTAAATGATTTTTCAAACAAAATATGTATTCTTAAGTATGAGCCATGTTACGGTTGAAAAGGAGGAAACGAGTACCCACTTAGTCAAGAAAGTCAATATGACTATCAGTTTGTATTCAAAAAGATTATTATTTTGCAAAATATATCAATCTGAGTTGACAGTTCGTGTTTCATTCAGTTTAACTTATTATAAAGAAGGCATCCATAATAAGCCTCTGACGTACTTATCGTCCGCATGAACTTTCAGACATTAGAGAGGTATTTGACTGTCATCGTTGTCATTGAGATGGAGATGAATTATTTATTCGATGGAACTTTACCATTTTGTTAAATGCATTGAATATTGCGAGGGATATGGAGCGTAACAAACGGCATTGCTTAGTAAATGTGGGGCAAATAAATGCGAGGAACACATGCAAAACGTTATGCTAAAATGTTAGATCATGCCATGATCACATGGTCACGCAAGGGTTCTGGGCTAGTATTCAGTTTGACAGTAGTAAACTAAAGGTTTCTCAGTTCATGTTTATATGTGTACCAATCAAAGTAAAGTTTTGGAAAAAAAATTAAATTAATAATTCCTTAAGAAATATTTGGAATCCCAGGCAATCTTTTAAAATGCAACATATTTTTTGATAACGAATACTTCCACCTTCTGATTCAACTTGGCTGCCAAGAGAAAAGCATAACATTTTAAAGTGCACAAAAATTATAGCATATAATAGCAGGACTGGAAGTGGAAAACATGCTAATATCGAACAATTATATGGCACCACCACTTACACTACAGCTACAAATATTGTCTGCTTTAGATATACACAACTAATTAAAATTAGTTGACGTCGTTTCATTTAATCGTACGTTATCAACCTTTTCGGTAATTTCATTAATACAATCGTACAATTAGTTTGATATGTCTGAAATTCAAGATAGTATCTGGAATTTTAGTTTTTACAATATTTTTGTAGATCAAAGGTCTACACGAATTTGTGCATTAAACAAATAAGCATATTAGACTTAATATTGTGAAAGATGAAGTTTCTACATATGCTTAATATAGCATGGCACCAAGATTACATTCTTGCAAATCTATCGAATCAGATACAAAATTCAAATGCTTTCTCTCTTTGGTGTTAATGTCTACAATTAGTGAACATCTGAAAAAGATGAAATAACTAAGAATCGTATTTAGTACACATTTATCTTTCAGTGTACTTTGTCACTCCATATGGGACACCATCAAAACTATTGAGCGTCACTGTGGAAATATACCTTTGTAAATATTGGATATTAAAAATCATTGTAAGTTTTGATTGAAATGACAATGAGTTAAGAAAACCTTTGCACAGAATGAAGTTTTAGAGACTCAAATCCAAAATCGAAATCCTCAGTTCAGTTTAAAATCAGTATATGGTGCTTTAAAATCAGTTGGTTCTAGTAATAAGGCCATTTTAGCAGCACGGTCTGCTTTATGATTACCTTTAATTCCTACATGGATGGGTAACCAACAGTATACTATATTGTGGGAGGTACTCAGCTCAGTATGCTTAAGGAGAATATTTGCTAATAATGGATTCTCCAGTTTTCTGTTATGTAGCGACTGAAGTACTGATAGTGAATCGGAGAAGATGGTGCTTTTTAAAATACGCTCGCTTGCAATGTATTGCAAAGCTAAGTCTATTGCTCTGATTTCAGCTGAAAAAAATTGACGTTCCATTTGGCAAGCGAATATTTTTTTATGTATTTTTCACTAACGAAGGCTTCAGCGGCCTTTTCCTCAACTTTTGATCCATCAGTATATATATATTTGTATAATTTTTGAACTGAGAGAGGAGTTCATGGTAAGAGTTGAGGAAGATGGACGGGTTTGTTTCCGATTTTTTTCCATCGTGTAGCGTGAAAAGTACCCTTGGTTGCTTAAGTAGCCATGGAGGTGTTTCGGAAATGGTCGTGTTCAGAATTTTCGAAATATCAACTTTTGTACTATCAAGGAATGGTAACATTCTAATGTCAAAGGTAGGTATGACATTTGGTTTATTGTCATATAAAGTTTGATATTTGGGTTCAAAAACAGCCGAAAAAGCAGAGTTCAGAGGGGTTTATTTTAATTTGAGAGCGTATTGAGTGGAAAGCATTTCTCTTCGTTGTGCTAAAGGTGGTTCGTTCGCTTCAACGAGGAGGCTTACACACGGAGATGTCTGATATGCTCCCAGGGCAAGTCTTATTCCCTGATGATGGATTGGGTCAAGAATCTTCAAATAAGACTTCCTTGCTGAACCATAGACAATGCTACCATAGTCTAGTTTTGAGCGAATGAATGTTCTGTATATGCCAATTATAACTTTTCTATCAGCACCCCAGTCAGTGTATGCTATTACTTTAAGTAAATCCAGAGATTTGAGACATTTAGCTTTTAAATTCTTTAGGTGTGGGATAAAGGTCAGTTTTCTATCGAAGATGATACCTAAGAATTTTACTTCCTCAACAATTGGAATAGGTGTTCCGTCCAGCGTAAGACTTGGTTCATCATGATGTCTTCGTAATTGACAGAAATGCATGCATACAGTTTTTGTTTTCGAGAATTTGAAACCGTTAGTGTTGGCCCAATTTTGGATCTTGTTGATATTTTGTTGTAATTGCCTTTCGATTGTATGCATTTGTTTGGATCGGTAACATATTAAAAAGTCATCAACATATAGGGAGCAATCCACATCAGGACTCAGACAATTGGTGATGCTATTAAGAGGGTGGAGTCCACTCGTACCTTGAATTCCCTATCTTTGAGAAAGTTTGATATAAATAAGGGCAGTCAGCCTTCTAGACCCAGATCGTGCAGGTCATTTATTATTCCGTACTTCCAAGTTGTATCATATGCCTTTTCCAAATCAAAGAAAACGCTACTAAATGTTCTTTCTTGATATAATTGTCGCGAATAAATGTTTCAAGTCTAACCGGATGATTATTGGTACTACTTCCATAACGAAATCCACATTGGAAAGGGGATATTAAGTTGTTGCTTTCCAAATACCACACTAGCAGAGAGTTGATCATTGGTTCCATTGTTTTGCACACGCAGCTAGTTAAAGATATTGGTCTACAGTTGCTAGGATCTGCGGTATCTTTGCCTGGTTTGGGGATTGGTATTACTGTTGCTTCTTTCCATATTTTTGGTACATTACCAGTAATCCATAAATCATTTAAGATTTCAAGAAGGACTGTTAGATATGGCTCTGGGAGGTGTTTTAAAAACTGGTAATGAATATCGTCAGGCCCAGTGGATGTATCTTGAGCCTTATTCAAAGATTCCATAAGCTCCGATAATGAAAACGGTTGGTTATAACTTTCCGAGTTGTTCGATGTAAATTTCAACCGTGTTTTTTCCTTTGAGGTTTTTAATCTTTGGAAAGCTTCTGAATAGTTAGACGATGAGGAATTTTTGGAGAAACA